CTGTCGCCAGATTGGCGCTACCTCGCCAATATGTCAAGAAATTTACCTCAGTGTTAAATAGATTTATTCCTGTAACCAGCAAAAATGCACTCTCTTGAGCCTTTCGTGTTACATTATACTAAAGATACTATAATTTTGCATAAAATTCCACAAAAATTATTTACATGTATATAAAATTCGTAACAATATGTAGAAGTTATAGCTACTCAGAATGGAATGATTCCCTTTCGGCCAAGGAGTAATAAGAATGGAGGATGGCTGTCCTTCCCTTGCATTTGATCAATAATTTGGGCAAAGCAAACGTATTCTTCCTAAAATGGAAATTATACAGGAATTGCATGAATTTACATATGCACCCGCAAGTGCAAGTGAAGCTGTTCTGTACGTGAGATGTATCTACTCATCGGTAAAATGATAACTAGATAATTGCGAGCAAATCATATTTCTCTAAACAGGCGCATCATAATTCCCACCTAGAATTATCTACAGCATTATTGCTGTCAAAATTAATAAAACGAGTGTTGTTTACTCCGAAGAAGGCAGTTAATAGCTGCATGTGGTCGCATTCCATAGTTCTTCTTCCACTGATCAAACAGACACATAAAGATTCAAAAATTTCTAGAAGAACCGATTAAAAATAATCTAAGAGATCATACCCTTTCACAAATGGCATCATTTTCCATTGACTGTTATTTCTCGGATCTAATATCAAACGGCTTAAACAAAATTTTTCAGTAATGAATTATGGTGGAGTGGACTTCCATATTTGTAAATTTCATAATTGTAAAACAGTTTCCCTTTGAGTTAAATCCACCAAAATAATGGCACTATGCCAGATGTGGCTAACTTTCATTTATCTCCAAAGTTTTGCCATTATGACAACCCTTCGGTCGATCTTTGCTTTCCCGCTAAATGCAAAATTTTTCATGCTTTAATTTTTCATAATGTAAATTTTCGTTAGCGTTTAGAAATTGAGCATGGATAGCAAACTGAATTTGAGATATTTTTTCAGTACATACGTCTTCATGCTTGTAAAGCAAACGTGCATTTTTGCAGGTGAAAAGTTTTGTTTCCTCAGCCATTGGATGAAATAAACGTAGAACGATTTTGATCTGCTTCTAACGATAAAGTTATTTGGTTGATGTGATGATTAAGAAGGCCGTAGCTAGGCCTTTTTGCCATTTGGTGCGATATTTACGGTTCACAATTTCTGCTTCCTGTTACCTCCCTAAATTGTAAAATATTGCCGCCTCTAAGTTCTGCCGCCCGATGCAGGCGCATCCGTTGCACCGGTTCTGGCGCCAGTCTTGCTGAATAATGAATGTAGCTATCACGCCAGTGGACCCGAATTTGAAATCCGGATAAATTTTAGATATTTGTAATCGTCAGGTCTATGCGGAATGAGTGTATATAAAAATCGGTCTTTTCTAAAAGTTTATCAAAAGGTTATAAAGAAAGAAACAGAGCATTAGGAGCTGTTAGCACAGTGCCCTTCGAGGCGAGGTACTTTAGGTCAAAATACAGTCATTTGCAATGTTTTTATGCAAGTTGATATCATCTATAAGGTCGATTAATATCGAAAATTTGGAAGGCAAAGCTCTGTATTTATTAAAATTCTAAGAGATAGATTTAGACTGAATGTGCACATTATCTACTTAAATCTTAAAATGATACTGCAGTTTCTTACGTTTTTTTTTTTTTTTTTTTTAAATACAAGTTGTAGAGACATTAGGATATTTTCGAAGCAGAAGACGTGAAAAAGGAGCAGTGCCACCTCCAGGGCTTGAACTACGAACCTCTCGAATACGCACCGAATGTGCTGATCATTATACCACGAAACCATGCTAAGAAGGCGGGAGAAATACCTTATATACTCCCCCTTTTAAAGAACGACTGTGTATTAAACCCTTATCACATACGATATTTGTTGCCGAAACAAAAGGTTTTGTGGAACAGTTCTAAGAAACGCTCTTTGGCGAAATAGGGTTACCATCTTCACTTGGTAAACAGGCTGAAAGCCAAACAAGAATTAGTTATCGCTCAGCTTGGCGAAAGTGACGTTTCCTTTCGGGTGACGTTTGCTTCTTCCGTGTTGTTTTGTATCGCTCACACTCTTTTCGTTTTAAACTTTATTGTTAGTAATGGAAGATGATAGAAAGGTGATGCTATCAAGTTAATCACTTTGATCTCCACTTTGGCACTTCAAGTAACAGATAAACACACTTCTGGTTATAGCAATCAATTACATCAGTAATAGCCAAATTCTGTATACTCTAAGACTAGTTTAAAAACGTGTGCTGGATAAGTCTATTTATCAGACATCACTTAATCACTTATGTTTATTTTCTGTTGTCTGCATTTCAATGAAAATTTGATGGCTCACAGGAAAATTTGTGACCTGGTGAAAGCATTTTCTTGACTAACTTTATGGCTCATAATTACTGTTCTGTCCATTCAAACAGACACACACACACACACACACACACACAAAAAAAAAAAAAAAAAAAAAAAAAAAAGGGGGGACCTTCTATGGCAAAAAATCGATATGGCTGATATTTACATCCTCACAGCCAGCAGATACTATTCAACAAAATGAAGATCAAATAAAGCATATGAATACATGAGCAATCAAACATGTGCGAGTTGTTTACTGCCCCACAGAACACTCGGTAATATACCTAAAACACATTAATTATACCAACTCTAGAAATTAGGTGTGCACGTCATGAGTTTGTTTTATGTGATTACGGCAAAGCCTCGAGGGATATCTGCCTAACAGGAGGAAGAAGATTTCGTAGAAGATTTTTTTAAACTGGCTCGTATACCAGTTATGAATGGGGAAAACCAAGAAAACGCTCATGTAGCCAGCTCGTTCGCGGCATTCTAACTTGAGACAGAACTACCAGTGTTCAACGACGCTTCGGCCACTATTAGGCCCGTACACTTAATTGGAAAGTATAATTCATTATGTAAACAGATATGAAGGTGATAATCAGTTGTGCACTGTTTTAAGTAATCAAATGTTATAAATATACAGCTGTTACATTTCTTATTATTTATTAGTCATATTTATATTACGTAGATCATACATGTGATATAATTATGAATTACCCCAATAACAAAATGTGTACACTCTTTAGTACTCAAATGCTCATCAATTATTTTTCAACTGATTATTACATATCCATAATAATTTGCAAAGAACTGATGACTACAGTTGCTGCCAATTACATGATCGTTATATGAATTAAAAGTAACTTCAAATAAACTTTTTGGCAATGCTCATTTTTGTATTCATACATACATATAATACACATCCAATAAGTCATATATTTACATACAGATAGAGAGATACGATGGTTTAGAAGTTGTTAATATATATTTATTAGTATTAATGTAATGAATAAGATTGATATTAATGAATGTATATACAAATGTTTTTCATCATGAATAATAATAAATCCATAAATTTCCAATGTTTCAATATGTAGCATTTACAATAAAAGTATAGTTTCTAATGTATTTATAATCCAAAAAATATTTCATTAATAACATGAAAGTAATAGACAAATTTAATGAGTATTCTCATTATTAAGCTATGCTTTTTTTTATGCATCTTTTATGCTGTATAAAATGTGTCACTGATTATGCAATTGACAATTTAAAAGATAAGTAATTAGGAGAAAAGCCGCACATATACAAACGGATTTAAAAAAATTATTCAACTTAAATTTAAGAAATAAAATTCTATTATATAAGTGATAATACACGATCAGCACGAAATACGACAAATTTGGTGAACTTTTGGCGACGAACAATTTGTAAACAAATCCGAACTGCAAGAACGTAGTAAAATACTGTCAACTCTGAAATTTCCACGATTATATATTTAATGAATATATAAACATTTTAAAAATGACTCAGGCAGTTATATTATTACAACAAAACAGCAATAATTAAATCGGCCTCTATTTCCACCGTCTATGACTTCACAGTGAGAGCCATCGCCATATTGAAAGTTACCCGTGATCCTTCAGACGCAGAACTTTCGTCTGATTGGTTGAACGTTCGAGAAACACGTCTCCAGCCGGGACATTTTCGGAAGAGTCGTAGCCGGGACATGTTCCCCTCCAGAGTCGTAGCTAGGGTTTTCAGCGCCCAGGGACAACTGAAGATTTCGCGCCCCCTACTGCTTGCCAAGAATGGAAAACATTTAATTCTAAAATGTCGTAACATCAGTTTGGCGCCCCTTGGATTCTGCGCCCGGGAACAGATGAACCCCTCTAGCTACGCCCCTGTTCCCTTCCTAGCCAGACGAAACATTTCTCGGAAGCCTCCCGCTTAAAGCAGTGCTACTCAAGGAATCCTCCTTGGTGCTACTAGAATCTCGTTTCTCGGAATTGTCCCGGGTGAGCGCGCGCGTCCCTAGAAGTGATAGCCTCTTTAGATGACCCAGTCGCCAAATCCTGGTGGTGAAGAATCATCATCCACCACGTTTTTTAGTTCGGGCGCCACTGTAGAAACATTAGGTATTTTTTGAAAGCAGGAGAGATGAAAAATGTGCAATGCCCTCGCCGGAACTCGAACCACGGACCTCTCGAATACGCACCGAGTGTGTTGATCACTATACCACGAAGCATGCTAAGAAGGTGAGAGAAATACTTTATAAAGTTATAAGATTTAGCGTAGTGGGTTATAATTGGCTGGCCTTTATCTACGTGGCAGAATATGGATGATATTAATAAATGCTAGCCTTACTCTTTACCTATTAATTAATAGCGCAGGTCTAGCAATTTGCCCCTGCATTCGTACAATAAATCTTTGAGCTTAAAGCTGAATTCGAAAAGATTGTTATCTTGTGAGTCAGAACCAGTAGTTATCCCTTTTGAATGAATGATATAGAAGTTGTTACGGGATTTAATGAATGGAGTATTCCCCTGTTATGAAAATGATAAAAAAAAAAGCTTAGATTTTTAACAATTGTAGTTATAGATCAGTACCTGGCAGGCATCCTTGCCTCCTTCTTGTTCTCCAGCGCAGATGAAAAGATTTGTTATACCCTTCGGAAAACTGGTGAGTGCTACTTTTGAATAAGAATTGTTGCATTCTTTAAGAGGCACTATTGGGATGCTTACTTCGTGTAAGACTTTGCTTCTTACGCCTCCTGCACAAAAAAAAAAAAAAAAAAAAAAAAAAAAAAAAAAAAAAAAAAAAAAAAGTTCATATACGTCGTAGAAAGAAATAATGTGGTTATATCCGATTGGCTTATGAAAGATAAGGATTTTCTAAGTAGCAACAAAACAGAGGGTTTTTGTGCATTTTTAGAACGATTTCGAGGCCATTTACGTAATGTTTAAAATGTAAAAAATATATTTTTAAACATTTGATCTGATAGCCTCTTTTTTAGATAATAAATCTGCATTGTGATTTCCATGATAGAAGATCTTTTCATAAAATTGGCAGGAATATTGATTTCTATTCCTCCTCCACTACTTTCCAAAGTACATGAATCGTAGCGGGTTTGCGCTTAGAAAGAGATCTTTTCAAGAGAACAAAGGCACAGTAGCTCATAGGTGAAACGTCAAGGGATTTTGTAAAAATATATTGAAAATTAATATATGAAGTACTTGTATCTGTCTTCACTTTTCAAGGAATGCAGTGATAATTTTCGAAGTATGACTTGTTGCTCTGTCTTGATGAAGTTTCACTTGTTGAAAGTAATTAAGGTAAAGAAATGGAATTTCTTCTGTAAATATTGGACGTAAATTTTTTTTTTATAGTACATTTTGTTGTTCATAACTCTTTATAGGGTTTGGCCTTCTTAGGTAGCATAAAATTAGACCAGGACCCTAAAAGACAATTTGTTAGTACCACAGAGGCATGGAAAAGGTGTAAAGGGCCCTTTATTTAACTGAAATGAAGTTTAACTGTCGGCACCATTTCGTGCTTGTAGAAACCAACAATTATGGCGTAACTTAAAGAAATCGGGTGAATTCAAACTAATGTAATTTATGTATAGCCTATAACGGTTTCTCAATGTAACTACTGCGCAAGCTAGGTCTGACCGAAGTCGGCATAAACAAGCTTCAAGGCAAGAATAACTCAACGCTGCAGAATACTAATAGCTAGAGAATCAAAGTTAGTAACGTGGCTTTCAAACAAGCAGAACACGCTCGGATTTTAACCTGCAAAAACATTCCTGTAAATGCTTCCTTCTGTCTACCTAATTTGAATATCGCGCGATCTAGGAATTTACATTCTGGCAAGAAAATGGAAACGAGACTGATAGGGACTCTAACATTTTGTGGCAACAGTTTGAAAAGTGAATCGACATTTATAGGAGTCCGACGCAAAATGCGAAAACGAAAGTAATAGTCCTTCGGGACTCAAATTCCTTTGGACTAATAATGGGTTAGGAACTTAAATGATGCTCCATAATTCATTATTTTTACTATCACTCTTCTTATTTTTAATGTTTCATTATAAGAGAATCTTGCGACAAGCATAAACCTTTTAATGAAACTTTCTTTGCATTGGCCGAACCGGGTTTGTACATTTTTGCTCATAATTTTCCATATAAAGTCCATTCGAGTCGTTCAAGTAAACCTATGCTTCATAAAGGCCCATAATGTATTTCCATTTACCTCCTGCTAAATAGTTTTCATACAGAGTTCTATTGATTTCTCCGCCGCAGGATTTTCTCTTGTAACCAGTGATTTAATTCTGAAAACGTCAGAGACAGCACTTACCTTTTTTTTGGGTATTCGTTTGGAGTCTTTTCCATGTAAAGGTAATGATTGCCGGTTTTTACCTCCCCTATAATAATGTTGCTTATTTTGAACTTAGGAATTTTAATGGCATGTATTTTACAATGTTTTTGATTTACGGAATAGGAATATTTCTCTTCGAAAAGCTCAAAAATTCAATCCACACTTATTAAGATGTTACGTTCTGATATAAAAATAAATTTAAAATCACCATATATTTCTCATTTTAAATAATAAGCTGTTTTCAGAAATTTTTATTCCAAAACATTTGCCTTTTTTAGACCAAAGGGGCAATTGGCGTTGGTTCACTATACACGGCGTTTCACTTTTCAAATTGTTGCCACTAAATATTAGAGCCCTGCATTATATTTAAATAAATTAAATAATGAAGAATCTGCATAAATGTATATATATTTCCCCCACTGCGAAAACACAACGGTACCTAGAGACATCAAATTTTGAATAACGTAGTCCATCTCTCGAATATGGTCATCTAGAAGCCCAAATTTGGAATTTGTTTTATTACCTATTTCATATTTGTAAAACTTTAATGAATTTTTGGTTAACAAACTCAACGATTTCAAAGTGGACAATGGGAATACTGTACGGGAGGGAAAATAAAGTAAAATAAATAAGTAAATAAAAATTAAAAAAAAAAAAAAAAAAACTCTGAAAGCTTTCAGATTTTATATTACGCCCAAAGGGACTTTTTTTTTTTTTTTTTTTTAAGTTTTGTGTGTTGCCTTTATTTATTAAATATCATGTTCTTCGCACTTAAACCATTAAATTCAATGCAACCGCAATATCACAAAATATTTAAAAGAGCATATCTTTAGATTTTCCTATACACAGTCCCACACACTGGAGATAAAAATGTTTTTTTCCCTCCGTACAGTGTCACCATTGCTCATTTTGAAATCGTTGAGTTTCATAATCAAAAACTCATAAATGCTTTACAAAATATGAAATAGATAATAAAACAAATTCCAAATTTGGGCTTGCAGATGCCCCTATTCGGGTGGAGATGTATGTTATTCAAAATTTGATGGCAGGTACCGTTGTTTTATCACAATGCGAGAAACATACATATACATTTATGCAGATTCTTCATTATTTAATTTCTTTAAATATAATACAGGGCTCTAATATTTGGTGGCAACAATTTTAAAAGTGATTCTCGTTTATAGTGAACCAACGCAAATTGCCAAAACGAAATGAATAGTCCTTCTGGGCAAACTGCTCCTTTGGCCTAAAAAACTCATTGATATTGCTACATCTGTCAGGACTTGTATGTCTTTTGACTTGCTTTGGAACATTAAGTATCCTGAATAGGAACAGGGAGCTTTAAAGCTATGTGTTCAAGTATGTGTGGAATGGACGACACAAGCAGGAAGGGTGTACTGAACCCTTTATTCTCTATTAAAGTACTTCGGGATACAGAGATCAACCACTTGTGTCTGAACGTAAAAATATAAAACTATTAGCTAAAACTCTAACTAAAAGCTAACTTTGAATTAGGTTACAAATGCCTAACACTAAGACTGGGCTTTTTAAAAGGTTACGTAGGTGGTACGCAAACTGCTGAAACTACAATACGCTTTAAATATCAAGAGGACTAAACCTATGGCCTTAAAAACAAGCAGCAACTGATTGAAAACTCGTAACAATGCAGTGGCAAGGCGGCTCACTTCCTTTTCTCTCTCTCACTCTTGGCAAAAAGCCACAACTTAAATACTTGGGCGTTAGCAAGTACAATTTGCATAAACAAGTTAAAGCATTTAATTCTGGCCGGAAGTGGAAAATAAGAAAGATAGTAAAGTTTTAAAATAAAATAAACGTTAGTAAAACTTAAGATTCTTACACATCTAACCAAAACACATGAGTAATGAATGTGATAAAATACTATTAAAATTTATTATTAAAATTATTTTTTGCAATTATTATTACGTGCAATTATGAGATTTGTTTTTCGTTCTTTATAAGTCTCTCCTAAGTCTCTGTTAAATTTATTTGCTTTTATTTGAAACATATTTCCAGATATTGGCAGATGATGGCAGCTTTGAATGATGAACCATTTCAGAAATGCTTTTTCAACATCTCTATCTCCTATTTTAACTTTTCTTCTCCTAGTTGTAGATTTGGATAAATTGTATTTCTGGCATATATGGTTTTGACTGTACCGTTTTGTATTTTTCGAGTAATGTTCACCTTATCTTCAGAGCAGAAGCTTAAAATTTACATTTGACCATGTGGATGAATTTTTTGATACAGAAACAGTGTTTGGTCAATGAATATGCGAGAGTTTGGTTCTTCTAGAAATATGAAAAAGGAAGATAATTTCGTTACCTGCGGTGTTTTATTCAATGTTCATTCAGAGCGCAATCATTTCCTCCGATATATATGGTTGCGAAACAAAGATTTAATAATGTTTATGAAGAATACCTTACGTCTTGCGACATACCTACAGAATGCAAAATTTGTATTCAATTTGGTTTGGGTTTTATTTAAGTATGGCAAAGCACTGGAGGTCTATCTCCCTAAGGGAAATGATGCCTTCGCGGAGGACTTTCTAAGGGAAATTGGCTCTTATACATGTTACACACGGGGCATCAATGCAACTAGTCCGTTCACCGGGATTTGAACCTCGATGTGCAGCGACTTTACTGATCGGTTGATGGTGGGCTGTAAATCCTTATTCGGAGGATAGACTTGGAAAGCATTTAAGCCTAATGTACTCATATAAAACAAACTGAGAAGAATCAGAACTTTTCATCCCTGAAAAGAAAAATAAACTGGAAAACCGCGTACACATAACAGCCACTACTTGAATAACGAAAATAGTATCAGCTTTAAACAGAGCCCTGTCTAGCAGCTGAAACAAAGAATTTGAATGGAATAAAAAAATCCACTCGCGCTTTTTTTCAATGGTCATGTAAATCATATGGTGTCCTGGACAAGACACTGGTCGCAAACTGGGGGATCGCTGGTTACATGCGGCCGCCGAAGAAATCTTACGTAGCCCTCAATACATTTTCCGCAAATTAATTAGCATTATTGTGACAAGAATTTGGAGAAAATGTTTAAGATTTTAGTGGTTCCGAATTCAGTTTACATCATCTTCTTTACTGAAAACGAATGTCAGTAATGCTCTGGAAAATCTAGAAATGGACTAATGAATTTACACTGTGCTATCTATATAAATCTTATTTAAACATTTGAAGATAAAAAATTGCTTAATTTTTATTACTGCTTGTCAAAAGATAAATATCCTCATTTACGAATTTTTTCAATGTGAATAAATGCCTTGAAGCAGTTTTTTTTTCATTAGTTGAAAATTAATAAGTACGAAAATTTATGAAAAGAACCAGACTGCCGATGAGTACCTAGAAATTGGTGAAGAAAGTACAGGGTGGTCATAAACAAACTTGCAAGATATATGAAACCGTAACGACCTATCCGCTCAACCAATCGAAAAAAAATTTCAGACATGGTTATCTGAAGGTATGCGCTCGAAATTCTGATGATTTAAATCAATAGAGCTCTCAGGGCTAGGATTACAATGAAAAGATTTCGAAAATTTTGAATCACATCACCAACATTTTTCCTGCGCAAATTGATCAGCACATTGAAAAACTGTAAATGGTATTGGAACGACACATGTGTGACGAAAATTGCCAATATAAAACATTTAAAAAGACAAACATTGTAAAGGCCCAAAGACAGCATAAGAGAGGAGAGGGGAAAAACTTTAATGGAATTATAAGTTTTCAATATGCCGACCTTCGCAGACGATAACTGGTGACAGACACCAGACGAAGGACCTCCGACCCAGGTCCATATTCTAGAGGACCCATACATAGTTTGGAATATTCGTCGTTCGTGGGACCTCGTCCTCGCGGGCGCAACCCCCGCAGTCTCCGCCCGGCTTTTGCAAAGCATTGGGCAGAACTAAAACGTTGCTATTTTGAAACTCTGTCACGTTGCCTCCTGGCATCACTCCGTTCGCAAAAGACAAAATTCCAGTTGGTGCTCTTTCCACTCTGTCAGTCCCCGCCACGAGAACTGAATGGGGTCAAACCCCCGGGGACTCAGTCGACAATCTCCGATATAGCTCCACCACAGCCGAAGGAACAGACACGACAGTACCAGTACGGTCCCTGCCGAGCCTGAGCTAACCTGAGTACAATACTCGGGTTCTAGTCCTGTGAAGTCAAATTATATACACCCCCGTGGTTGAGACTGCCTAGGTACAGATCTTAACCAGTACTTCCCAGGTGTTCGCCTGAGTCAACCACCGGGGGGGGATAACTGTTGACAATAATAATGAACGTTACAATCAATGGAGGAATCTGTGTAACTATCTTTTTTTACTATCTATTTTATATTATCTTTCAATTCTGGCAAACCTTCAGGATTTTATATGTACACTTTAGATTTCAGATAATCCCAGAACCAGAAATCCATCGGAGTGAGGTTGGGTATCGCGGTGGCCGCGAGACTGCAAAGTAAAGTTACAAGAGATGACTCTATCTTGAAACGTTGTACTACACGCTGAAAACTTGAAATTCCAATAAAAGAATTTTTCTATCTTTTCTCTTGCGTTGTCATTGGTCTTTTACAATGTTCTTCTTTGTAAATGTTTCACGCTGACAATTTTCGTCATGCAAGTATTGTTCTAACGCATTTTTTTCAATGTGCTCATCAATTTTTTTCAACGTGCTACCAATTTTCACTGGTAAAAATGAGTGTTACCATTCGAAAATTTAAGAATTTGTTCACTGTAACCATAGCTGAGAGAGATCTGTTTTTTAAATTATCTTGCTCTCGAGCGCGGTTACAGCCGAAAACATCGCGGCAAAATCATCGCAGACGAAAGCGTCGCGGAGAAAACAACGCAAGGAGAAAACATCGCGGAGAAAACAACGCAAGGAGAAAACGTCGTAGTACAAAACATCGTGAGAGAAAACATCGCAGTTCTAAAACAATCTGGTTGAAAATAAAGCGTTTAAAAAACTTCGCAGTTTAAAAACATCGTCGTCGAAAATATCGTGGTAAAAAATAAGGTACCTACAAAAAACATCGCATACAATGCGTTTTTCAAATCCCATAGTGACATATTATGTAATTGACTTTCGCCATAAATAACAAGTCGACATCCAAAAAATTAATACACGTTATACATTAAAATGTTAACGACATTTTAAGAATAAACGGAAACAAAACAATATATAATTTTCATTAAAACAATATCAGAATAACAAATGTGAAAGAAAATAACTTGGTCATTAACTAAACAATTTTTATAGAGGTCGCCTCATGCAGTTATTTATCTTCCTTTTTCTAAACATTTTTAGACTCAATTCTCATGAAATATTATCTTAAACTTTGTAAAAAAAAAGTTTAATTTATTAAGCTTTTTAAAGTTACATAAATTTTCTACTCATTTTCAATTTTTAAATGCTTAAGTTTCCTTTTTATTTTATCAGCAAAAATTTATTAGTTCGTTCAAATGTATGAAATATAGAGGTAAAAGAATCCCTCTTCCTTCTTGCGCTCTATGATCTTTATACGCACATGCATTTACAACTTTCAAAACCTGAAAAAGCATGTGTGCACTGTTATCATCGTGCGATGATTTGTAGATACTTTATTTTTTACCACGTTATTTTTGACGACGATATTTTTAAACTGCGAAGTTTTTGAAACGCTTTATTTTCGACCACAATATTTTGTACCACATGTTTTAGAACTGCGAAGTTTTCTCTTTGCGATATTTTGTACCACGACGGTTTCTCCTTGCGTTGTTTTCTGCGCGATATTTTTGCCGCAACGTTTTCGGCGGACACCCTCGAGCTCATACCTTCAAATAAAATTTCTGAAGTTTAATTTTGATTAGTTGAGCGGATTAGCCGTTAGGGGAAGTTTATATCGGGGAAGTTTTCTTTTATGACTATCCTGTACTTTCTAATAATTTTCCTCCAAGGCTACAAGCTTTATAAAAATTGAAATGCTGTGAGGTGTTGCAGCTAAAAGGTGTAGTAAGAAACAAAGAAGTTTATAATAATTTGCATACAAATGCGTATTTTTTTCTGAATGCTTCATAGAATAATGTAATAAATAAAAGAAAAAGAAAGTTTTCATTATTTATTCTCAAGTTTTGTCTCTCTTGGGAAATTTTCGTTTATTTCTTTCTAATTTAAATTAAAAATAAGTTTTTTAGCGATACTTCAGTACATTACAGTTATTTTTATAAATGTTAATCTGAAACTTTTAATATTTAGCTTCTTGTTAGAATTGCAAAGTGTGACCAATAAAAATTTCTTGCAGGTACCATACTTTAGATTTGAGGCAGGAAATAAGTATGAATTTGACTTTTGTCTGTGCGTCATTTTTATATGTATGTTTTGACAAATATCTAGTAATTTTTTGATCTTAATTAAGGAGTTCTGTTTTATTAACAATTTTAAAAAAATTGCGTTCTTCAGCTATTTTTAGATTGCCTGATAAATTTCTGCTTGGAATCGGAGTTTGAGAACACTGTCCTAAGATATGCTTATTTTTGTTCTCCTAAAGCTGGGAGTTACACCTATCTCGCATAACTTTTGTTTAGAACGTAGAGAGAAAAGTTGAGGTGGAGATAAATACAGAAGTGTTTTTCCTTATGAATGGAATGAATAATATGGATGGAATTTGGATCCTAATATCTTAAATGTGGATGATTTTAACGGTTAATATTTTTTTTTCTTTCAGACTTGCAGAAATTCTAGAAAAGTATGATAAATGAAAAAAAAGGTTTCAATCGAAGATAGCCATACACTTTGCTATATTCGATTTTCACACTCTTGGAAGTGTACTATTACAATGTAAAATACAATTAAGTGTATAGAAAATTGGATGGGAACAGAAGGTTCATTCTCCATATCCTGGGATTCGTTATAGTAAGTGGAGTTAGTTATAGCGAGGTATTTCTATTCTTTAGAGTCTATTCGAAATACACTGACGTTTTCTAAGAAAAGGCTAGTGTATAAAATACCCTCTATATACGAGCTTAATATGCTCTCAGGAGAGCTAATAAAATGATTAAATACGTGCTCCGTACTTTGAGACAAAAATGAGCAAATATGTTTTCTTCAAACATAAAAACATAAAAGACAAAAATTATAATTTTTTATAATCCATTTTTAAATGTTAACCTGGTTTTATAAAACAGGCGGGGTGTTTTTAAGGGGTCAGAAGTCGTTTCTTTTATTTTGCAAATATGGAGCGTCGAAAAAATAACAAGTTTTGTTTACAATAGTTTTATAACAGGGGTGGCTAAACTTCACTGCGATAGGAGCCGCATGGTAAATTTCTTGAAACCTCGAGAGCCACAGCTGGATTTTTCAAGAGTCGCAAATGTATATCGTTTAAAAGTCGGGTCTTGAGTCGGGGGCCAGTCAGAAATCATCAACAATGATTATCACTTGCATTTTTGAAAAAGGTTCCGTTGCTTCTATGATTTCACAGGGCGAAGAAAAAGATTACTAGAATTAGCATCAGAATACACTTAATCTTTAAACAACACATTTCTGAAGTATTTAAGAATCTTGTCAAATTTGGCAAGAAACCTTTGACTGTTACTACCTACAAGAAAAAAAAAAAAATATTGCCGAGGCTCGATAGACATTAGCAAATAATAACATCTTAGAATCTGCTCAGCTGTACACAAAACGCCAAGCCTTGTTTATACATGATACTAGAATTTCTTTAACAGAATATAATACACTATTGACAAACATAAAAGAACTATAGAATAAAATAAAAATGAAACAACAATGTTACAAAACGTAAGATAAAATATTTGAAACAAATAATAAATAAATAAAAAATATACAGCGAGAAAAATTAAAAAAAAAAAAAAAAAAAAAAAAAACACTAATAAACGAGATGCTTTAGAAATTCAAATTTGTTTACCAAAAGATGTGTCTCCCCACCCGGTAACTGTAACATTGTTCAGATCTGTTCTTATCTTGGCTCGTAGACCATCCGAAGGCACACAGACAGGATAGACTTTTTTACTCAGTTTAACTTCTTCCTTTACACGAATCAGCGTGATGTCATTGTAGTACTGGCGATTCTGATACTCAGGATGAACGAGAATGTTCTCAACAGCATATTCCACGCCGTCTTTTGTTGTATGAGAACCGACCACAACTGAAAACTTTGATGGATCACTAAAGGACATTGTGAAAACAAATAGTAAGAGCTGAAGAGTTTAATGAAAAGAAAAATATATGTATAATTGATTCGGTTAAGATGTTTGATTATCTGAGAATAACAAACGTTGATAGAAATCCGTTAAAATGTGAAGTTTGCTTTAAATACGAATTTCTTGAAGTGTGAAGCAAATATTACGTTTAGACATTAAATATCTGAAGCGAGCTTTAAGTTGTTAGGTAAAAATTGAATAAAAGATAACTGAATTTTAATTCCTAAGTGTTTAAAAATTTCAGAGGACAAAACAATATTTCGACAGGGAGTTATTATTTAATCGCACTTATACATGATCGCATTTTGATATCACCATCGAAACAGATTTTCGGATTTTTTTTCTGCGTATATCGGAGCCTAGTAAGAGTTTTTAATCAGCTATTTCCCATACTAATGGCATTTTTATTTCAATTCTATAACTTATATCTATTTAAAAAAATTAATGACATTTTTATTTCAATTATATAATTCAGCTTATATCTATTTAAAAAATTCTTTGATATTTTAATTTCAATTATATAATTTATATCTATTTTTAAAAAATTCTTCGGTATTGCTTTAAATCTTGAAATATTGCCGTTGCCGAAGTTTTCTCAAAGCTCAAATTTTTAACTTTGTGAAATTTAAGAAGAATCTTGAATTCATTTTTTCTAAAACATTTGGCTCAAAATATTTCACAAGCTACCATCTAAATGAATTTTATATGACAGTTAATTTTTATAGTTGGTAAAACTGAATCTCAAACTCGCCATTTTTTTACTTTCAGTATTTGCTTATTTAATACTCAGTTACAAAATCCAAAACGGCCACTTTTTTAACAGCATATTGCATTTCTCTACGTGAAGAAACTGCTTGAAAGAATCTTGGCATTTATTCTGTTAAAAGATGGAAGATGCTTTAATTCCATGACACCATGCAATCTAAATCAGCGATTCTCAACCGGTGGTACGCAAGAGAAAAATAGGTGGTACGCAAAGAATAACCTAGGATTTCCTCAAAATTATTTTTAACTATTAAATTCAAAAACAAAATACCCCCACACCCTCTTAAATGTTTTCTGTGACACTCATAAATGTATGCTATAGTAAATTGCCGCTCATAGACTTTTATCAAAATAAACCGTTTATATTTTCACAAATATTGTTTGAGCCATAAACGTAACAAAATTTGTCGTAAATGATGTTTTTAAAAGAAGTAAAAGAAATAGATATTGCATTTAAGAGGAAATAAAACTTAAGTTCCAATAAAAAGATAATAGAAATCTCGTTAATTCTTTTAGAGTTGATCGATTAATTAGCATGTCTACACTTTATGCCGCCACTATTTTCAAGCTCATATTGCTCAATTTTCAAATAGAATCATTTTTTACGTCGATTTGCTGTCTCTAACAGCAAATATTTCGTCTTCTTGTAGCTCTGTATTCTTACGTTTCTATGCGATTTGAGAATATCGTCATTTGTTCCTCAATGTGTCGTTTGCGGTGAACTATTATCCAATCAAACACATTGTTTGACACCATCATTTCTTAAAAGACATCTTGAATCTAAGAAAGCAATTTAAAGTATAAATCTGAATAATATTTTAAGACTAAATTGTCATAATTCAAAAGTAGTAAACAAGTAATGAAAGGTTTTGTTACTTCAAGTGAAACAGCTTTGGAAGCTAGTTACCTAATAAGCTTAAGAATTGCCAAGATTGGGCAGGCTCACACTATTGGAGAAAATTTTATATTACTAGCAGCTAAAGATACCGTTTTAACATTATTCTACGAAAATGCGGCTAATGAACTTAATTATATTGCGGTATCAAATGATACAGTAAGTCGATGAATTCATAAAATGGTAAATTCGTTAAAAAGAGACAACCAAACAGTAAAACAGGGTATGTTTCGCATTAGAATTGGATCAAAGTGTTGATATAACGCACTTTGTCCAATTATTAGTTTGCATATGTTTCGAAGAAGATAAAAGAATTGCCGAAAAGTATTTATTTCTGGAATCTCTTCATGATGGAGCAACTGCAAATGAAATTTTTTAAGTAATTGAAAATTTTATGTCTGAGAATAAGTCTATAATAATAATAATGTCTGAGAATTCCTTGGAATAAATGCATTGCCGTATGCAGTGACGGAGTTCGGACTTTAACAGGAAGACATTCCGGTGTTATTTCTCAAATACACAAAGTCGCAGCTGAAACTAAATTTACTCACTGCTCCATTTGATCCGTTTTGAAAATTGTAAATTTTATTAAAAGCCGAACTTTAAATTCAAGAATATTTACGATTTTATGCCAAGAGATGGGCAGTGAACATAAAACGCTTTTGTTACCTTTCGAAGTGAGGTGGTTATCCAAGTTTTAACTTGTCTTTTTGAACTTCGATCAGAAATTCAAATTTTCCTCTGTGATTCAAAATTTGAATTACAAAAATGCTTATTTAGTGTATTATGGTTGGCTCTTTTATCATATTTAGATGATAGTTTTGAAAGTTAAATGTTATAAGTTAAATGAATTAAATTTAGGATTACAAGGACAAAGGGTTAATTTATTTACCATAGAGATAAAGTAAATGCAATGATAAAAAAACTAGAGCTAATAATCAAGGAACTGGATAATAATATTTTAAGCTTTTTACCACTTTTAGAATGTTTTCTATCTGAAAATAATTTGAAAATAAAAGAAGAATTAGCATCCGGCATTAAAAATTATTACCTTTCATTAATAAATAATTTCAACATGTATTTTCCCGAGGATTAAAAAAAGAGAGAGAGATTTCCTGTGATCGAATTCTAACTGAAAATATCAAAAATAACACACTTGTTAACTTTTCGCTGAACTTTGAAAAAAAAAAAAAAAAAATCTGAAAGGTTTTAGATTTTAAATTACGTCCAAAAGGGCGTATTTTTAACATTTTTTCTGTTACCGTTGTTTATTAAATATCCCGTTCTTCGCACTTAAACTATAGAATTCAGTTCAAGAGCAATTTCGCAAAATAGTTTTAAATTGAGCATATCTTTAGAATACCGATACAGTCTCGCGCGGTGGAGATAAAAAAAATTTTCTGTACAACGTTGCCATTGCTGGCTTTGAAATCCTTGAGTTTGTTAATTAAAAATTCGTTAAAGTTTTACAAAATATGAAATCGATAATAAAACAAATTCCAAATTTCAAATTTGGGCTTCCACATGCCCATATTCGCAGTAAGATTACGTCATTCAAAATTCGATTGCTCTATGTACCGTTGTTTTATCACAATACGATAAATATACATACATTTAATGTAGATTTTTCATTATTTAATTTTTTCAAATATAATGCAGGAGTGTAACATTTGGTGGCAACAGTTTGAAAAGTGAAACGAACGCTTATAGTAAACCAACGCAAAATCGCAAAACGAAAACAATAGTCCTCAGGGACAAAGTTTCTTTGGACTAAAAAAGAATTTAAAGTCATTTCAGATAAAGCTATTAAATCTTTTTGCCTTTTTGCACAACTTATTTGTGTGAACAAGGATTTTTTCTGTTATAGTACTTGAAAAATAAATACAAAACAAAATTAAAAGTGGACTCTCATTTGCGATTAAAACTAAGTGAATTAAGACCAGACATAAAGAAATTGATTTCTTTTAAACAGGTTCAAATTTTGCATTAAATTTTATAATTAAAGTATCATAACTTAAATTTTGATAATTCAAATGGTAACCAATTTTTAATGTAGTATTTTTTACCTGTGTATATTTAATACAAATAGCCAACAGGCTGTGCAAATGGAAAAAATATATTTTTAAAAAATATTTTAATTGAGAAACTGAAAAATAATTATTGTAAAATGTAGTGGTGGTACTAAAAGCTTTTCAATTTTTATTTGGATGGTGCGCGTTAATCAAAAGGTTGAGAACCGCTGCCCTAAATGAAATGACTGACGGATGTGAATTCAACTAATCAATATTTGCCGCCATTTGTAAATGCTGTATTTTCAAGAAATAATGTGATGTAAGTTATGTTAGAAAATCTGAAATCAAACATGATTTTCTGATCATATTGCCTATTACGAAGTATACGTTACAGTGCGTTAGCTCCTGAAGTTCAAAAATACCAGATTAGGAAGAATAAAAAAGTCGTCCAAAATAGTCTTTAAACTGGATGTGGGAATTTTGTAGTGAATAATACAGAAGAAAATCTTTCAGAATGATACCTATAACTAAGATACCGTTTTCAACTACCTGTCACGTTCCGAATTATCAGACTAGAGATGCTTTGTCATAAAGCATTGAACAGGAACTCTTTCTTTCGTATATTCTTTCGTATATATTACGATAAAAATTTTTATGCATTAATCAGGTTTTTATTCGAGTCGTTCTGTAGTTTAGCACGATTATTTTATACTTACAATAAGTGAACGTATAACTGGTAATTGAATATTGCAAATCAAAATGAGATTCTGCATGTTGTTTTCAGTATGACCCTCAGGAACCCATTGATTCCATATTCGCATGACAGTGATTGGATATCGACACTGCGATGGGTAATATCACGGAGCGATAATCCACACTCTCCATGGGCAACGATCCTGTCTCTATAGAATTTGGACACTTGCTGGTAAGCATTCCTTCTTATTATTCGAGGCATAGCTCGATATTATGAGCAAATCCCGACCTTACAAAGCCGTTTCCGAATGAGAAATCCACTACAGAACTCTTCTTTTATGCAGTGCTCCAGATGTCGTTTCTCCCTCCTGCGTCATCTAAATACGCTGAAATACTTACCATTTGCATATCCCAACCTCTTCTTCCTTTCATGTGATTTCGACGTTCGTCAGATTATTCCTTCCTGGTGTTGCAAGTTTAATGGCCAGCAGTTTATGTACTTCATGATAGATTGTTTAGCATTGTTTTGATTTAATAAGTGTCTCTTGATTATTTAATTAATTTTTCAGCATACTGCGCGATTTTAATAATTTGTAATCTGAATTTGAAATTTCTAAACTTTTGTTTATCTACTGGTAAGAATAAGTAATGCTATTCGTCATCTTTTGATTTACATGTTTATGCCGATTAATGTCCTTCCCTACAGTCAGCGACAATGTGAACATATGTAGCTTTCATAGAAATAATTTAAAAGATAACGAAATTTAAACAAGAGTTTTTACAAACACAGTAACTGCTGATTTTTTTTTTTTTAATAAGCAGTATGTTTACTTTAAATGTCTATTCAGAGCATTACTGTTATGTATCAAAGTATAGAAAGCGGTTTCTTTTATTCCAACACAATTCTAATGAGATTTTATCATTAATTGTTTAATTCACTAATTAAAATAAATTTTTTAGTGGCGTATTGCTATTGTTGTTACCAATTTTAGGCACTAGAAAGAGCCCGAATGAAATTAAGTGAAATAACTTTCTTAAACTCACACGTTTCCTCTCTCGCCATCAAAGCAGTGAGCTGCGGTGAGCACATATTGACGACTGATAAGAGAAGCTCCACATAAAAATCGCTTCGTGCCGCCTGGAAATGGTTCCTTGAAAATGGCCACCTGCAAGATAAATGGTTGAGTCTAAAGAAAAACAATTATTGATCTTCCATACTGAAAAAATGCAAGACTCAATTCTAATGAGATTTTGTCATTAATTGACAAAATCTCTTCTTTTTTTGAAAACTTAAACTATGAGACCTAGAAATTTGAATGAATGTGGCGTGCAGATAATACTCCTTTTCTAATTTTATTTCAAATATAAAGCTAAGGCTAGTCAAATTATTACGGATTATGCAAATGAAATCCAAAATAATGTGTGAGACCATTGTATTTTACACTTCCCATGGCCTTTCATAAGTAGGAATATTTTTCTCTTACTTCTGTAAAACAAAATATTAAACATTTCACACATTTATTAATCAAGGGAACGCTTTAAAATCATTCATATTAAATAAAAACTCACTTTTAAAACTATTGTATTAAAAGTTTTGAATAATTTACTTTATAGCCGAATGATTTAGCTGTAATTAAAATTATTGTTATGAATGCAGTCTAAAAGAAGCTATGGGTTTCTTTAATGGCAGTTGTCACAAAATTCTCAGCAGTAGACCAGCATTCGAATAAACAGGTGCGACGTATAGCAGATCACAAAGTGACATTTCTCTCGCACTCCTCAGAGCAAGTAAAACGGCGATCACATTCGAAAAATTTGCTGCAGCAGACTGGCAATCATAATGCATCTGTGAGTTACGAGGTCACTGGAGAATAAAGTGAATGCCTGGCCGGTAAAACGCAAGGTCCGTAAAAGAAAAGTTTATCTCACTCCCTGTCATCTAAACAAACGAAAGTGCGTTCTCGCTCTGTTTTGGCTCTGACGTCACTGAGGTTCTCCCTCCTCAATTTAATATAAACGTTTTCATTGATTTAAGCTAATTTGTACGCAACTGTGAAAATTAATTTTTTTTCTATCACAAATATTAAATTTATACAGCATGGTATAGAAATGGTTGGTATAGAAATTTATAGTGTATATTGATTTAATGTTTAAATTAATAAGATGTTATGTTAAATTAATGTTTAAATAGCAGTGGTGCATATTATTTTGTATTCTATATTATTTAAATTAATTGATTCCTTAATATATATGAAAACAAAATGCATTCTGTTATGTGTATTTAAATACGAACGGTGAAGAGACATGAGAGAAACTGAAAACTTAGCTTTTCAAGTTATGAAAAGGAATGTGTAAATTACGTTCTTATTTTCGGTGGATAGATTCATGTTTCTTCTCAGTAAGGACATTTGAATTATCATAGATCATATAGAGATGTCTGTCACATTTAAATTTTAGGAAACTTAATTTGAATATTTTAACGATTTTTCAAAATACAGAACTGTTCAAATTATTATACTGTTATACTGTTTAAGTTGTTGTATATTACTGTTTCATAATGTAAAAGAATTTCATTGATCTGAATCGGATTCTTATTGCATCGTATCTGAATTAACAATATTCAATCAGGATTACAGGTAAACATTTTACAAGTACTTTTATAACTTTCACTTTGAATGTATAATTCTTTAAAATATAAAACACAGCTTTTGAAGAAAATCGCAGAAGTGATCGGGCAGAAATAAGGTTCTAGCAACATAAATAAATTTAAATCTCAGCCAAATTAGATTCCAAAACCTCAGGCACAAGTTGGTACAGCTTTAAATATCGGACAGAATAAATGGCTTTAAATATTGAGTTGGTACAGCTTTAAATATCGGAGTTAGGTACAGAATAAATGGCCTTAGTTTGAATTTCTTTTACTTCAACATTTAAATATTACTACACTGCATATTTTTCATTTCTTGTAAATGTGGGTATTTAGTTTGATCATGCTACACTGCTGGCCATTAAAATTGCAACATCAGGAAGGAATGATCTGACGAACGTCAAAATCACATGAAAGAAAGAAGAGGTTGGGATATGCAAAGGATTAGAATTTCAGCGCATTTAGAGGACGCAGGAAGGAGAAATGGCATCTGAAGCACTGCATAAAAGAAAAGCTGTGTGGTAGATTTATATTTTTGTCAACGAGATCGCAAGTTTGGGCCTGCACGGAAGAAAAAACATTTTTTTTTCAGTCAATCCAAATTTTCCACCTGTATATATCATTTACTTTCACTCATCCCCAAAGACTGTGACTCAACTGGCAAAGCATTAGGACTTTGTTTTGAATTTTCTAAATCATTTTGCATTTTCATTTATTATGTACTCAACTTTCATAGAACTTGCAAAGAAATGGACTTTGCTCTCGAGAAAGCCGGAATAGGACTCTGTTTGTTCTTTATTTCAACCCATATTATTACTGTCAACGCATATATATTTTCCAAATAATTTTCAAGTAACGTATTGATTTTATAGATCAACAAAGTGTGAAATTCTATTACTCCTCATCGCAAGAATACAATTTCTTGCTATATAATCTATTTCATTTATTATGTGTCAGTTTTGTTTTGCATTTCCCATATAGAAGATAACTTCATGTTTGTTTAACTTAGATACTAATCTATGTTGCGCAAAAGCGTTTATTTTTCTATTTTCAGCCAAAGGCCTCAGAACACAACGCCAATTAGAGGTCAAAACTCTTAGCGGTTGATACGTCAAGAATCAACAACGATGTCCGATGGATTTTTCATTCGGAAAGCGCTTTGTGAGGTCGGAGTTTGCTCAGAGTATCGTGTTATGCCTCGAATAATAATAAAAAATGCTTACCAGTAAATGTCGGAATTCGATAAACGTAGGATCATTGCCTATCGAGAGTGTGGATTATCACTTCGTGATATCGCCCGTCGCACTGGTCGACATCAAACCACTGTCATACGAATATGAAATCAATGGATTGCTGAGGATCATACTGAACGGCATGCAGGATCTCAATGCTCTCCCATGACTAATGCCCGAGAGTACAGACATATTGTGAGGTAGCCCTGTCATTAGCGTGTAGTGTACAACGATATCACGGACCATAAGTCAGGAAATGCGCATGTTTGCAGTACGCCCAGTATCCGCTCGTAAGCTGCGTTGACGTTTGCAGTAGCATGGACTATCAGCACGGCGACCATTACTTCGGATTCCTTTGACAATGCAGCGTAGAGAGAGACGGGGGCTCTGGTGCACCGAACGACAAAGCTGGATGCAGGAATGGCACAATGTCGTCTTTTCAGACGAGTCCCGGTTTTGTGTACAGTATTCTGATGGCGTGGAGTGTCTGGAGGCTTCGAGTAGACTACACGTCGCCCCCTTGCATTCGATCTCGCCCTTGGGTCCCTGCACCTAGTGTGATGGTTTAGGCAGCTATTGGGTACACTACACGCTAATGCAAGACCACATGTTGTAAGTCGTGTTCTGACCTTTCTCGATACACAAGGTATTCAATTGTTGCTCTGGCCTGCACAGTCTCCATATCTGTAACCCATTGGAAA